AACAGAATTATTTATTTGTATTTGTTTTATTTATTTGTTTATTTTTTATTTATTTATTTTTCAAATTAACTTATGCAGTGACAATTGAAATTCTTTTTTTTTAAATTTAACAGAAGAAAAAAGGACAGAATTATTTTTTATTTTATTCATTTGTTTATTTTTTTATTTTATTTGTTTATTTATTTTATTTTTTTTTTATTTGTAGGCAATAATATATCCTGAATTAAATTACAAACGATATCGTCATTCGAGTGATTTTATCAAAAAATATATCTTTCCGGGTGGACATTTGCCATCTGAGCAAGCAATTCGAGAAGCATTACCGCCAGAATTGTCAATTACAAAAATTATCCATATTGGACAACATTATGCGCCAACATTAGATTTATGGTATTGGTAAGTTGTAAAATTTTCATGGTTAATTCCTTTCAAAGTGTTAAATAATTGAAATTGCATAAAAAAAGCAAATGTAAATTTGTAAAATTAAAATAAGATAAACGATAAATTTCGAAAAAAAAATTAATTAATGAGTAAATTCTATTAAAAAAATACTAGCAAAATTAATTAATGAATAAATTCTATTAATACTAAAGGTAATAAAAGAAAACTGTGAAGTGAAAAATTTCAAAAAAAATTTTGGCAAATTTTAGAAATAATTCCTGGTTATTATTTATAAAGTTATTTATAAAGTTTTTTTTTTTGTTTTTTTGAACAATTTGATCAATTATTAATTGCTGGAAATGGTGAAGTATTAACAAGTATTTAATTATCAATTGTGATTAATTGAATCATTTGAAATTTGTATTTGAATTATTTTTAAAATTCGATGAAATATAATTTTAGTGCATGGATGGAACATGAGGAAAAAATCATGAAACTTGGATATTCGCGAAAATTTCATCGTAAATGGCAATTTTATTTTGCATTATGTTCGACGCTATTTCAATATTCTCACATTGATACCATACAAATATTTATTGAAAAATCCTTGTAATTCATTTTTTTTTTTTGAAATTATTAATCATTTTTAATTTTAATTTCAATAGTTTGAATTAAAATAAATTAAAAATTATCCGTAAAAAAAGGAATTGAAATCCTTATGATTCATTTTTTTTCAATTATTAAATCAATTCTGATTTTAATGATTAAAATTAAAAGCCAATTAAAAAATTCTCGTGAAAAAAAAAAAAATTACATTTGAGGAAATTTAAATGAATAAAAAATCAAGCGAAAATTTCTTTTTCAATTCCGTTTTATATCACTTAATCATATTATCAATTCCGTAATTAAATTTCATAACTTATTTTTGCAATGACAAAATTACTGATTATTATGAATATCGATTTCCAATCAATCAATACTTCTTGTAAATTGTGTATAAAAGTTTTTGAATCAAATCATATTTTGCTTATTTTGTTTTTTTTCTTTTTAAATTTTGAGAAATTTAAAATATCAATGAGTGAGAAAATTTTAATATGCATATTTCTATCACAATCAAGTTCAAATTAATTTTATATCACTTTATGCTGCATAATCATCGAATCATTCATTGCTGTTACGAAATATTCACTGATAAAGAGTGAGTGATAAAGATTGATAAGGAGTTGATAAAGAGTTAATAGTTGTTAGCGCAAATTTACATCTAATGTATTCCTTTTATGTTTCAGAATTTATATTTAATGTAATGTATATTTCTTTAAAATAAAAAAACAAAAAAAAAAAGAAAGCAAAATAAATTAGCTAAAATTCTTGGGAATTGAATAAAATTTGCATAAATCAATTGGAAAGATTTAGTATGCAGAAATGTTACGAAACTATTAAATTTAAAATAAAACCATTTTAAAATTTGAAAATTCTTAGAAATAGTATTAAAAATAAAAAGCAAAAATGTTTATCAGGGATTTCATCGTTACTAACATCATACAATTTCTTTGTACTTTTTTTTTTTTTTAAAAAAGAACAAAAAAAAAGACAAAAAAACAAAAAATAAAAAAATAAAAACAAAAAAAAAAACAAAAAACTAAAGTTAATGAATTGTGAATGATTGAAAAAAAAAATACAAAAAAATTGAAAAATTTGTGTAAAATTGTAAAAAAAAAAAAAATGTTAAAAGAAAGAAAAAAGGGAAAATGATGATAAATTCCAATTTATGATGATAATTTTTTTCAAACAAAATAATTTTAATAACTAAGTAAAGAAAGGGAAGGGAGGGGGAAAAAAAAATGTGAAAATGATGGATAAATCAAGTACTCGTATAAATTCTATCTAATATTTGATAAAATTTCAATTCAAAGAAAAAAACTTTTTTTGAAACTAAACATATAAAAAGCCATGATAAAAGTGTATATTAAAACAAAA